TTGAAAATGCATTCCGAGCTGACCACGCCCACCCTCCATCAATCATTGCTTCAAGGCGGGGATTGGCGGAAGCGTGGTGTGTTTGGATCGTTTGAAACATGGCGGCTGGAGATCTGATAAGATCGTCGAATTCACTGCCAGATGAAGTGGAGCGTGAACAGAGAAATATATGAAGAGTATTCCATGCTAAAATCAAACGAACGTCTATCCGAACGTCATGAGCTTTGAGCGTCTTACACTGCGGGTGACCCACGTGACGCCAGCTGCCATTTTGAATATTGCATTGCCATTTTGCATATTGCATTTTAAATTGAATTTCGCTACCTATATGCTTCCATAGAGAACCACTGCTCTAAACTGTCCCGTCCATAAAAGGCAAAACAACTCAAATTTCCCCATTTCCTAATACCCATTCACCCTTTAGCCAACAAAAGCTGCAGAGAAGGTTTATGTGGGTGAGCTGAATGGCGACTGTGTCCGTGGTACAAAATCACTGGCCGAAGATAAACTCCTGCAATTCCAGCATCATGCTGTCACCCGGCAGGCGAGCATCACGTGGTGAGGATTACAGATGTGGAAATCGAACTAAACGTCTAAGTACGTGATTACTAGAGGCCCTATAAAGACGAACAGCAGCAGTGTGTGGAAAGCTCAGGTCTCTTAACAGTGTTAACCTCTCCAGTCTACACTTCAAAATTTGGTTTTGGAGCACAAACACACACGCTCATCTCCTAAAGCCGCCTCCACTGTGAATCTCCATTGGGGTGCTGACAATCCCATGACCCAGTTTCTCAGCTCAAATCCTATGGAGGTAGACACTCCAGAGCTCCTCACAGCGAGATTACTGTCACAAAGAGCTAATTTCTGCCACTCCTGCCCCGATGAAAAACACTCCATTCAGCCACAACCGTGTGAGCTTAGCATTGTAGAAAATACCCCTCTCGGGAGACAGAAGAGAGTGCCCATCACCAGCTGGCATGCTAACAGTTGGGGGGCCATCGGGTCAGACCTCATGCCAGACCCAAACTCAGAAGCTGGTGTGCACCACCAATCCACTCAAAGACCATTTACATCCAACAAAAGTGCATGATTGTACACCGAAGTGCTCTACACTGAGAGATACGGGTAAGAATGAACAGCCCCGGTGAAAGGACTTGATACAAGAGGGGTTTTTTTAGTTTACAACATACTTTCACAGACTGAAAGGTTAAGAGAAGATATGGAGAAAGAAACAAAAGAGAAAAAAAAGGATGAATCTACGTACGGCAGGAGAAAGTGTTAAACCAGAATGGATGGGAGTGGGTTTCTGTTGGAGAGCGTTCGAGAGCTGCTACAACAAGACGAAAAGAAAATAATGGAAGAGATAAATATAAGAGGCAGTTCACTGAGCCGAAGTTGCAGGAGAAGACGTATCTAAACAGTAGCCGTCTCCTTCTATTTTTCACTGTCTTTCTATACGGCCTTGTGGGTGGACATTGAGCGGTAAGTGGGCTAGACTGAGGCACTGTTGGAAGATTTAGAAAGAATCCGCGAGACGAAAAGAACAAACAAAAAGAGAAAGGTAGGGGAAAAAACAGATGAGGAAAAGGTAGGAAGAATGGGAAAGAGAAGGGAAAAAAGAGAAATGTTTGTTAAACACCAGCTTAAATTTAGATGTAATACTTCTGTCCTTCTACTAATGCTGTTTTCAGTGAATATAAAAGCCCTCACAGCATGAAAAGTGGAGAAAGCCAGCGTCAGCAAGCACTTCCAGAACCCACAGCGAGACCGCAAGGTGAAAACAAACCACGAGCTGTTTCACTTTAAGTCATTTTGCATGGCATTGCCCTGTTTCTGAAGGAGCTGTTGGAGCCAGAGAGAAATTAATGTTTTGTCAGCTGACCGGGCTTGTATGAATTAACCAATTTCTTATTGCAGTTGGAGTAAATCTTTTATTTTGAGGTTATTTTTGAGTTACAGCCCAGTCTCGATCACTCTCGGTAATGAATGGCTGCAAAATGCTCGCCTTTTTCCATTGGTGCTGAATGTTTCTTGCAGCACTGAAATGAATCTACTGTGCCACAGCAAATGATATTACTCCTGAGGGAGTTTAAAAAGATGAAGTTCTCTGAATAGAAAGTATCGAGATAAACTGAGTACTATGACAATATAAAAACAATACCATAAGACGAAAAGAAAATAATGGAAGAGATAAATATAAGAGGCAGTTCACTGAGCCGAGGTTGCGGGAGAAGACGTATCTAAACAGTAGCCGTCTCCTTCTATTTTTCACTGTCTTTCTATACGGCCTTGTGGGTGGACATTGAGCGGTAAGTGGGCTAGACTGAGGCACTGTTGGAAGATTTAGAAAGAATCCGCGAGACGAAAAGAACAAACAAAAAGAGAAAGGTAGGGGAAAAAACAGATGAGGAAAAGGTAGGAAGAATGGGAAAGAGAAGGGAAAAAAGAGAAATGTTTGTTAAACACCAGCTTAAATTTAGATGTAATACTTCTGTCCTTCTACTAATGCTGTTTTCAGTGAATATAAAAGCCCTCACAGCATGAAAAGTGGAGAAAGCCAGCGTCAGCAAGCACTTCCAGAACCCACAGCGAGACCGCAAGGTGAAAACAAACCACGAGCTGTTTCACTTTAAGTCATTTTGCATGGCATTGCCCTGTTTCTGAAGGAGCTGTTGGAGCCAGAGAGAAATTAATGTTTTGTCAGCTGACCGGGCTTGTATGAATTAACCAATTTCTTATTGCAGTTGGAGTAAATCTTTTATTTTGAGGTTATTTTTGAGTTACAGCCCAGTCTCGATCACTCTCGGTAATGAATGGCTGCAAAATGCTCGCCTTTATCCATTGGTGCTGAATGTTTCTTGCAGCACTGAAATGAATCTACTGTGCCACAGCAAATGATATTACTCCTGAGGGAGTTTAAAAAGATGAAGTTCTCTGAATAGAAAGTATCGAGATAAACTGAGTACTATGACAATATAAAAACAATACCAATTTTTTCTAATGTGATGTCTTCACAGGCTGCATGCAAAAACCAAAAATACAATTGTCTGATTAAGACATTTGTCTGATTAAGACTCATAGAGTTTATAGACTCTCAAAACTGGAGTTTTGCATATTTTAGTCCAGTAGCTTTGAGATTATCTATATGCCAGTATAAATTATCTTACTGCATGTATACACTTTTAAAATGTTTTTCTCTGCTTGGAAAACTATCACACGTGATGTAAGTTAAACATTATTAGCTAATTTTTAAAAAGGCCCTTGGATATATCAAGCCCTAACTTTTGGTTTCTCTCTTTCCCACCACTATCTCAACCACACACAGTCAAGAAGGGTTATCAAACCTGACTTGCGCCTATCGCTAACAGCCCAATTAACAGATACAATCATTGACATGAGCTGTAGGACTCTATCAGCCATGGAGCAAACCAAAGAGCACTGAACTGGTTGTGATGAATATCCCACCCCCTTCTCTCCAGTCTACTTCCTAGTCATGCCACTCAAATGTTCCCTGTCCAAACCCCCTCCTTCCTGATCTACACTTCCACCCACAAGAAAACAGTCCAGAATGGCTGAATGAATATTTAAAAGCTGCAGCCTTCTCAGTCCTGGGGTGGCGTATGAGCAAGTTCCTCGAACAGAGGCTGAGGGGCGGCAGGGCTTTGAAAAACCAAAGGCGAAGAGAGAAACAAAAGCAAAAAATAAAAAATAAAATAACAATTACAGTGCAACTGCAACCCTCGTCTTGGCAAAAAGAAAAAAGCAAGCTACATTAATGAAGACATTAGCACCTTCTGAGATGAAAAGAACAGTGAAGACCTGAGTTTAAACCCATTACCATGTACATGCGATAATAAAGTTTGCATTCTACCTTTCTCAGGGGGATAGCTTAATTTGTGAAGTTTTACCTAGCATTTTCTCCTTTTAATGGATCTTTTGTTTGGAAGTATAAAAGATGACAAAGTGCAAAACACTCCCTGCTTCATTAAACAATAATGGTAGCAAAAAAATGACTACAGAGCAATAAGATGTGAATCTATCTATCTGCATGTCTATATCTATAGCTGAACTATATCTACCCATCTATCCACTCATCTACCTATCTATCTATCTAGCCACCTATCCATCTATCTATCTAGCCATCTAACTAGCCACCTACCCAGCCACCTACTCATCTACCCATCAATCTACCTATCCGCCTACCCATCTATTTTCTTCCCATCTATCTATCTAGCCATCTACCCATCTATCTTATCTCCGCTCCAACATTTATAGCTTAAATATATCTACTTACAGAACTAAAGTACTCATCTATTCATCCACCTACCTACCCATCCTTATCTATTGTTCAACTATAGGATCAGGCGATGCAGTCACATTTCTATAATCTAACAATAATCCATCTTAATCTCTTCCATCCAATCATTAGATTGTCTTAAAGCACTCTTGAACTTTGTCTTTGAGTCAATACAAAACCTTTAACCCTATTTGCTACAGTTCCTAACTGCATAACCTCAAGTTTCTGTTACGTAACCAATAGTGTAATGCTAACACAAGCAGAAAGAACCTATAAAGAAGCTGTGGATGTGGACACTTTTGCAATGTACTGTAAAACCACTATTGTGGTCACACTATTCATTTCAAAGAGGACTGCTATAGATCAAGAGCACGTTTACCCAGTTAGCCACAAAAATGTTGATATTTTCTAAAGCAATCATTTGAGACAGTAAAAGCAATAATACTTACGTTGGCAGTGTCCATCTACCTCCTCGAAGCCTGGCCGGCACACACAGCGGCCGATGGGCACCAGCCAACCTCCGTCGGCACTGCAAAACATTCGTGGTGCCTCGAGCTCTTCCGCGTCCTCCACACAAGAGCCACGCACTTCCACCAGCGCAGAATCGCCACCCGTCACCGTATCCGGGAACCGGGCCAAATTGAGCACCGCCAGAGGACAGCGCTTATAAAAGACTCTCACCGACACCAGAGCAATGCAAGCACCCAGGTCTTGAAATGCCAGGTACAAGCCCCTCTTACTGAGACCGCTGATGTCTCGCACTTCCGTATTCAACTTCATGACACGATCCCCAACGTCCGTCTGCGTAAAGCTCTCATCAGCCGCTATAGTGTCAATCTTGACATATTGGCTTTCTCGAATGTGGCGCAAAGGTGAGGCGACTGCATTGTTAGATTCATGGTAGTACACGTTAAACGTCTCCTTACAGGTTCCAGGGACTCCTGGAAGGCTGTTGCAGTCACGTAGAGTGAATTTGATCTCCACGTAGACACGTTGAGCACCTTCTCGCTGGATCAATCCAGTGCGCAACCAGTTGTTCTGATTGGCTTCCATTACATTGCACACCTGGTACGTCCTCATAGGAATGTTCCTCTCGTCCATAACACTGATCTCCTCCCACTGAAAAACAAACAAAAAGTCGTTCAGTACAAGGAGACACACATCCCTCAATGCTTTGGTAATTGCTCTCTGTACTTTGTTTCTGAACTTTCTAGGCTCTTACAGTGGTTTCTAAAAGATTTTGACAGACCCATGATGGGCACTTTACGAGAAAAGGCTTCATTTAACTGTCATCAAGAGGAAAGTGCATGTGACAGGCAATCAGCTCAAAGTTATGAACTGAACAGTCTCAGTTGTTTTGTTCACGCATAAATCAACTCATTGTTGATGCAAAGAAAATTGTATAATTGTGCTTTGGAAACTTCAATTGTTAAAACGTAAAAGGCGAAAACCATGAAAAATAATTTGGTTTGTTGGTTTGGCATTGACGTCAGTAAGTTTGTGGGTTAAAAATAAAGGCACAAAAAGTAGCAATGTAAATCTTTCAAATCTTTCATTTCGGAAGTGTAGTACGCATACTGCTGGACATGCCAAACCTTGAACGTTTCCCCTGCTTTATAAGCACCACACAAAAACATGAGATATTTCTCTTTACAGGCACTCGTTAATCTGAGGGTCGCCGTGATTTTCATCAACATCTTTTGTTGATCCTGGATGTTGTACTTGGTGAAATCACAGTCACCTTAATCTGAGCGTGACTACTTGTGCCAAGGCCACTATTACAATCATCATCTTGTGAAAATGGATTTGAATGAATGAAACGAAAGCGTGGGATGAGAAGCAACTCCCACAGAGGAGACAGAGAATCGTTACTCAGCGGGTTGGCAAGGTTGTTCGAAATGAGACTTTCCTACGACCCCCCCACAGGAAACTCTGAAGAGTCACAGCCTGTATGTTCACAGAGAGGAGCTGTGAGCATTTTTTAGGGTTAGAAAGATCAAGGACTACACTTTAAATCTTGGTTGTAACAGAACCGGTTGGGGATGAAATAACAGGTAAATATCTGGGCTAGTTATTTAAAGGTTTTAGGTTCAAACCCCACAAGGGACAACCATAAGATGTTACAAAGGTTGTGCAGCATTCAGAATTGACAATGCTTTTTAAATTCCAATTCAGTACCTTCATTTGAATGTGAATGTACAGAAAGTAAAATTAAATTAAAATGTAATTGAAATTTCAAAGAAACAAAAATGTTTGCAAAGACAATCTTTATAGGCCTTACAGATAGCTAGAACAACAGCTAGATACATATCCATATAGCTAGAAAAACACTTTAGTTACCCAGAGTGCATTGTCTATGTTGAATTAATTTGAACTGTTATTGTGTAAATTCCTATTATTGGATGTTGAAACTTTAAAAAGCTTAAATATCCTTTTGTAAGGAAAGAATTTGCACTTATCCCAAAACCTGTGACAGTAGCTTCCATATCGAACTGCTTTCTGGTAAAATCTTTGGCAAAGGTACTGTGAGAAAGGTTTAGGGCAAATTTCACAAGCACAGAGCTCTTAATCATTGTTTTTTTTTTTTTTTTTTTTTTATTGATCTATTTCGGCTGTGCTGTGCAGACTTTCACAGGATTGATGTATTTCGGCTGTGCTATGCAGACTTTCACAGGTACTTACCCCCTCTGGTGGATACGCTTCCCAACCCAGATCACCTGGGGCAGACATAGAGTCGAGTAGAGTAACTGTAAAAAGAATGAAAAGGACAGAGACGCAAGTTAATCAAAGACACAGTGCTAGTATACTTAGCAGAGAACATCATATTTTTATCATTCGCTCAATTTTTTTCATAAACAACAATTGGGTTTTTACACAGCATGATGTCATGTAAAGCATGAATCATTCAAGGCTACAGTCTTTCTGAATAAAATATAGACAACGGAGCTCTAGAAATGTCAGAATCACTTGTAACAGCCTAATCAACACTTTGCATTTGAGGTTATTCATTCCAGTTTTATTTAGATGGTACATGACGTATATACAGTGAATTTATTTTATCAACCTAAACCTCAACAACTTCTACAACCAGGCGCAATAATCTAAAGCCAGATGTGGTTAGATATTCAGTCGTGACCATTACAAAACATGTGATTCGCAGCTCCTCATGCAGTCTTTTTGAAATCTGTTCTCACATCAATATTTTCAGAGGTTGATGGTGCTATTTATAACAGTCTTTCAATCTCCCAATGATCGGAGCCCTGAACTTCCCACTTTGAGCCCCGTTCCAAACCAATTACATCCCTGGCAACCAGGGTGATTAATTCTTAATCACATCCAAACCTCAGATGTTCCTCCTCTTTCAGGCTGAATATCAACCTCTCCCTCTCCTGGCACATGTGCGTGCCCTTTTGTGACGATTTAAAAAAAAAAAGGGAAATTCAAAGACCATCTGGATCCAAATTCTAATTAAAACTGACTGCCAATGGGTTTGTGTGACATGCAAACAGTGTGCATTTTTAAATCGCGCTTTGAATGTTGGTTGATGTGGAAACATGGATTATGTTTGGTTTTATGGGTCATATACAGAGCAATTGGGTAAATTTGATGACTTGACACTCAAAGAGAAAACCATATGTAGAGTCAAAGCAGGATATTGCTTCTTAACCGAATGCAGATTACGATGCCATTAACCACTGGTGCTCGTGTGCTTGTTTTCTGATGAGGGGGTAAAACCAGACAGGCCAATATATCAGTCCAAATGATCTGGAAATCATTCTGCTCGGCCTTTCAAAGACACATTTAATAAAACAAACAAATGAATACAGCCACAGGCCTCGCACAGCCCATTAATACAAACAGCAGGTAACATTTAACTCGCAGCAAGGCGAAATTTGTTCCACCTGAGACATCAGTTCTGGCTCAGCAAGCATTTTTTAAACAACTGCTACACAGTCCCTGATGAAAAGACTAGCGTGTTGTGTTTTGGACACCAGGCTGCTTAAATCACAAGCAACTAATGTGCTCAAACTTCTAAAACAGCAAGACGGTCTATCTTGACTCTCTGAACGAGAAAGGTCTTGCTATTTTTTTTTATGTTTTAACCAGCAAGACCACTTGGTCAACCAGTTGCACCTGCAAGATCAGGTGCAACCAACATTACTGACAATGTTTTACAAGTAAACATAATTGCTATGTTAAACAGGGACTAACCAAACAGGGACTAACCAGAATAAACCAGCATGAACATTATCAGATCTTAGCAGTAAGGAGCCCAGGCTAGATCATTGTTTACTTGCTCTGTTGGGAAAGTAGCTTAGATTTTCATTGGCACAAAAATTAAACAATGATTTATAAATTTAAAATGTATAATTTATATTTGGGTCAAAGACATTAAGATGTCCGCATCAAAAATTTTTTACAAAAGTGATTATATGTCCATAGAAAGCACAATAAGTAAAGTGTCTACTTTTAAGATTTCAAATAAGTTTTTGGAGAATAAAATGTCAAAATTTGGTTGAAATAATGTTACATCGTCATTCAGTGTAACACAATATTTATGTAAAAATTCAAACAGCATGCTTATTCTGACGTGTACATATTAAAATATATAAAAGAATAAGGGAGCATATTAAATTTGATTGTTTTAAATGAGTAAAAAATTCTTACTGACAATTGGGCAAAACCTAGGATAGTGGCAAATTTTAAAAAAAATTTGGGGGGTGACAGTAGTCTTTTAATATGTCATAAATAGATTTTTGTTGTAAATATGCCTGACAAGATTGTTACACTGAATGACATTTTAGTGGGTCTCTTCTGTAAATCAGGGAAAAATGTATGATATTTATTTTTTGCTCAGAAAAACAAAAACAAAATTGCAATTAAATTAAACAGAAAATAAATTAAAAAATTGGGGGGAAAAACAACAACAATTTAAAGCAGTATTACACTTATTGTTTTTATGCTTAAACCCTTTTTCGTCTTTGACCCATTTGCATGTATACTTCTAAATAAAATTTGTAAATTTACTAGTTATTGTAAAATTATTTTAAAATATTATTTAACCATTTTCACATAATTTGCTCATTTTTCTGATAAATAACTGTTGCTGGAAATTATGTTACTATATTATAGGAAATTCCAAGAAAACCACAAATTCATAAACACTTTTGCTAGAAAAATAATAGCATACATGCCAAAACATGATTGGTTTGTAATTTTTTTAACCATTCTTACAGATGCTAACAAAACCATTCAAGCCATTTTTGCAATTTCAACAAAACCTATCTATGTTAATATTACCTAACTAACCTTAGCAAGCTGACAAGCTTATGCAACCAAATGTCACAGAAACTCAAATGTTTAAGGAGGCTAGTTCTCTCTCCAAATTCCTAGTCCAAACACAGTTCTAGTTCTTTCAATTCTTTGTCATCCAAAAGGTGAACGATCTCTTTATTCTACCCGTCAAAGAAAAAATAAAGTGAGTTTTTTCACAAAGCTGGTGTTTCTACGGTCCTTAAGGAAGACTATAGTCAGGCTCACCAAAAGACATGACAGTACCACGCAATAAAATGACAAGATTTAATAACTAAAATCCATTTAGGTACCATAGAATTCAAAATTATGTAAAAAAAATCACTATAAATTCCCTTTCCTTCACTATTACAAGGCCAGGGTCATAACATATATAGACAATGCAGGTGAAGCATCCACTCAAATAGTGGTTGTATATAGCCAATTAAATTTAGCCCCCATTATCCCGAATATGGTTACAGTCTTGTACAGGCCAATACATGTGGTGTTTACTAAAACAGCTGGTTAGATAGAGTAGAGGATGGGGGCTTTTCTTCATCATTAGCTCCCAGTCGTGCAACTGTGGATGTGGCAAATGCTGGAATCCCTCGGGTGTCTAAGAGATCTCGCCACCTCAGGCCAATAGATGAGATTAACCATTAACACTGGGAAGAGTGCAGTGGTCAGCAATCACCTCCAATGTAAACAGGAGAGCAAAAACTTAAAAATGGAAAAAGGAGAAGGGTAGGTCAAGAAAGAGAGAGGGAAAGGATAGATAAGCCGCTGGATATATGTCCTCAGGGAACCGAAAAGGACAATGGGGTCACTCTCGCTCATGCATAGCCACTGTCAGGTACTTCTCAAGTATCCTTTACTTAAGAGGTAAATCAATCTATGAAGATACTATTCTTAACTCTGAACATGTAGCCTATATTCTGACAGGATTCAGGACTGTTGGGCATTAAAAAGTTTAAAATCTACTTGATTCGCATACATAAAATATGGTATTTATGTCTAAGAAGAGTATTCTCGCTAGTTTAATCTCTTTCGAGGTGAAGTGTGTAATCTCTTATCTCACCATATATAATTATAAAAATGATAGTTTACAAAAAGTTTTTTCCTGAACCCCCCCCCCAATCATTGGTCAGACAAATACATAGCCCCGCCCCAAACTCACACCATTGTTGAGTCTGTTGCTTTGTCAGGCTGATTAGGATTCTTAAACAAACAAGCACGTTCTCGACGGAGCTGTCAAAAAACGGTATACGAAAAGAGTAGTATGTCCGAATTCTCAGAATTCACGAAACAGTATGTCAGAAAAAAACCCAGGTGAACTACTACTTCTGCTGAGATTCCTTAGTGTGTATCTGATGGACACTTTAATATCCCATGAGAACATGGGAGAGGAATTGTGAATGTCAGTACAGCGACACAACTGATGCCGTAAGTCACATCACAATGACAGCATGGAGAATGTAGTATGTTCAAATTTCAGTCATACAACATACTTTATGACCACAAAGTAGGTTCTTCATCAACAGGACGCGATTTCCGACACAGCTATAGTGTTTACTCTTTCCGGCAAAACTAACCAAACAAAAAAATGAATTTTAGTTTTCTCTGAATATTAAGACAGAAAAGTATTTTAACACCAGCAAAAAAAAACAACGCATTTCATCTTTAAGTCTCATAAGTCTTCCTCATTTGTAAAGATTATTGTATGCTTCGAAGAAAAGGAGGGGTTACTGAAGCACAAAACACAGAGCCTGCAAAGACTGATATGTCGGTTTCCACAGCATCCACTCCAAGCACGGAAAGCATATCTATTGCAAGAGATTGCTATCGTACAGCCATCTTGGCAGAAGTGGTGGGGCATATTTGAAATGCAGTCAGCAGTTCCTGTCAGTCACTGCTGGTGGGGAGTCAGAGGTCTGCTCTACTGGGAGGTGGTAAAAGAGCCTCTATTCTGCCTCAACAGACTGATGAGACCTGCCACAGAGATCCAGCCTGTCTGGCAGAACCATCACACTCATCTGACTCAATGCCCAAAAGAACAGCCATCCAGTTACAGCTTGACACCCATGATCTCCTAATGTCCTCTGACCAACCTGTTTAACACGTATGAATGAAGATGTTCTAGTATTTTCGAAGCAGACATATTTATGTCCATCCACACAACTTAGGCTATCTGGACGGGTCCAAACACGCCAAAAGAGTTTTTTTGCTTTTATGCTGCCTTCACATCTATCGGACACGTTATCGGAATTATCATAGATTTTCACCAAATCTACATTGGTTTCTCACTTTTTTATATTTACCTATATAAACAAACATTTGATGCATATTGTATGTATTTTTCGCAACGAAAGCATCATTTATTTGACCGAAACTACAGAATCATCAGCAAGCTGACTAACTAGCACAGTGAATTTATATAATATAGTACAATAGTTAA